AAAATTAGATTATAAACAAAAATTTAAAATTTTAGCAGCCAAATTTGCTTGCTAAAATCTACAGTTTAAGGGATACTCAATTTGTGAAGTAATTGCTTAAAAGAATGATCAATTGATTATGTATATAAGTTCCAATATGTTAATAGTATTGGGTACTTGCTTAAAAGGTAATACAATACTACTAAAACTAGAGTGATGAGAGAAACAGTAATACATGATTATAGTCTGTGATAAAGAATCATACTTTAACTAGAATTGAAAGCACCTCTGGTATTGGTGGAATAACTATAAAAGGCTACTTGACGCAGAGAAAAAGTAAGCTACTCTGTATGTTTAAAGGTACCAATTCAGAGCTCTGGTCATATCTATATAAAAGTTTATAACAAAAAAGATTAGGATGTACTAGCATGAATGACCAGGAGTGTGTAGTGCTATAGTTGCTATACAACTCGGGAAGTTCTTACAACTAAGAATCCTGATAACATACTATATAAGGAAGTATATAAGGGTAGTGATATATATTATATTAGATAACTAAAGAAACGTTAAGATCTAAAGATAGCAAACTAGTAATAGTAGCAGAACCTGGCTTGAGATATGAGGTTAGTATACCTGAGATAGTAAGTAGAAGAGTCTGGGGTAGTGATATGGACTAATTACAAAATTTTGGACCAGGGTCGCAACTAATATAGGTCAGTCTGGTCGACCAAACTAACTGTATTACAAAAAATTTTAGCCAATCAAATTATAGAATTTATTATACTATATAAGCAATATGCGGTATAATACAATTTTTATTTATTAGTTATTGTTATTCTAAAACAAAAAAATTAATATTTTTGATTCAGCAAAAATGTATTTTATATTTATTTTTTTATTTGTTCTTATTAAATATTATATTTTTTGACTTTACTGAAGCAAAAATATTTAAGCATAAAAGATATTTTCAATTTAATAAAAGTTTTACTCAATTGGTCAAAACTAAAATAATATTTATCAATTAAACTATTGTATTTTAATACCATTGATTTTAATAAAATTTTACTTGAGTCCAGGATAAATGTTAAAAAGTATAGAATTGGTTTTTAAAAATAATATATTATAAACTAGATTTGGATCTAAATGATTTTGCTTTTTAGTAAGAATATTTTCCATATTAGAAAATAATTGTTTAGAAGATATTGATGTGGCTAGGAATAGAAGAAATTTGCATACCAATGTTGCTAGATTTGGATAAACTTTATGATTTATGCACCACCAAGTAAAAAAATTGTGTATTTTGTAGAGAGGGTCTTCAATAAAGTATTTATTTATTTGAGTTACTTTTTCATACTGTTCTAACTCATAATTCACCACATAATCAGAAACTTTGCTATCATAAAACTGATCTATTTCAGTTCTTGTTGAGGTATTATCGTAAAAGATCATATAAAAGACCTGGGTCTCTTACATTCTACCAAAAAAATTAATTAGTAAAAAAAAGAAAATAATTAGTAAAAAATGAGAGTGGGTCTGATATATGGGAGGATTTTTTATATAACCTTTTACAGTAATAGTAGTATTAGTTGTTTTTATCATTTCAGATAACAAATTTAAAATTTTATTTTTTTTATCACTAGCGAAAAATAAATTTTTAAACTGGGAATCCAAATAAGAAGCAATATAAGCTTTAGATAAAGGTAACTCCCAATAAGCAAAAATAGAATCCTCGATTAGTTAACAAATATTAAGAATTTTGAATAAAATAAGCGATGTTTTTATATGACGTAAATATGAAAATAAAAGAGAAATAGTAGGAAGTATCATACTAAGAGTAGAATATTGTGCACCCCTAATTAATTTGGTTGATTGTGCAAAAGGTAACAAAAGTAATATTAATTCATCCAACTCAATCTATTCAATATTTAATAGTAATCTCTCATTTAAATTTTGACTATCTTTTCTTTATTGATGATTAGGATGATAACTTAAGGATTTTGTGAGTTGCTCCACAGCATCTTGTAATTAAACTAGCCTTTTTAGAACAAAATAAATAAAGTTCTACTTAGTTTTAACATCATGAATAGGTTTCATAGTAGATTTTTTTTTTTTTGTTTGTTTAACTGATTGTATTTGTAGTTCAAACAGATCATCAGATTTGGATTCAGAGTCATTATCACCTAATAAAGGCCATTCCAAGTCTTCTGAATTATCTGCTAATAGTTGATAAAGTTCATGTTAAATATTACAAAGATTTTGGTGATATTGATCTTTTTTTACTAACTAGTTATTTAATCTTTTTACTTTAATTAAAAGGTTATTATATACACTAAGATTATCTTTAATAGCTAACTATATGGGGTGTTATCTATTAAAACAGCCCTTTTTTACAATTTTTTGAAAATTGAGTTTTTATTAGATTCATATAA